AGATCTTTCGATTAAGAAAGAGGTAACAACAATGTCTCTCCGATTTCCAAAGCTACTCATTTCTCTTTCTCAACATTCATTTGATCTTCCACACCATGCTCTGTGTTCTTGTCGTTATTTCTGGGTTACAATCGTTGGGTTTTATGCTGTGAAAATTGTATCGGTGAGTAAGGGATCTATTCGTTTGATCCGATTCAGGAATTCACAGTCGGAGACCAACTACGTATATTCACCTTCATTTACTCTTTTTTTTTTGTTTGCATTTGGTCTTGTTTTCCTACGCATTTGACCGGGAGGTTCATAGTGTATTCGCTTTGATAATTGATAATCTTCCTAAGATTTGGAGAGACTATGTTGATGTGAATTCTGGGTCTCATCGTTTGCTGATATATCTTTGCTTGTTTGGCTCTGATTTGGGAAGATAAAAAAAAATGGGTGCTGCTGAAAACAGCCTTGAAATGGAGGGTACTTTGGAGATTGGCATGGGTAAGAGCTTCCTCATCTATTCCTTAAAATATGACTGGGATCTTGAGAAGCTTATGAACCATGATTAATCATCTTTGTTCGTTCAGAGATTGCATTGTGTAGTTTTCTTTTTCTTTGACATCTGTTCTTCTATACCGCAGAGTATAGAACTGTCTCTGGTGTTGCCGGACCTCTTGTCATCCTTGAAAAAGTCAAGGTACATATATATATACAGAGATTGCTGTTTGAATTTTTCTTCTTCTTCTTATGAACCATGGATTCCCTGATGATAATGTTTTGGCGTTAGGGACCTAAATACCAAGAAATTGTCAATATTCGTCTTGGGGATGGAACTACACGACGTGGTCAAGTTCTCGAAGTTGATGGGGAGAAAGCTGTTGTCCAGGTTTCTCAAATTTTCCTCCCTTCATTAGCTATCAGTCGCTTTAGTCTCAAGTCTTGTGCTTAGCTGAATGAATATGTAAATGAATGTAATCGGGCATATTCATCCAAGGGTTTATTTTAGTGTCTTATTATACAGCAGCGAGATAAATTCTTTGGTTTGCTTGCTTGTCCAGGTTTTTGAGGGAACATCTGGAATTGACAACAAATACACAACTGTACAATTTACAGGAGAGGTATGGTACTCTCATTTTGCTATGTAGCTTAGACTTTTTTTTACTAATCTAGTGTGGCTTATTCATATACGATTGTCTTCTCTTATTTTTGCCATTATGTTTTTCATAGGTTTTGAAAACTCCTGTTTCTTTGGATATGCTTGGTCGCATCTTCAATGGTTCAGGGAAGCCCATTGACAATGGTCCACCTATATTGCCAGAGGCGTACTTGGATATTTCTGGTGAGCTTCTTTTGCCTCTTGTCACATAATTAAATGTCGTAAAAATACAGGGATATGTGACTTTTGTTTCTCCAGGAAGTTCTATCAATCCCAGTGAGAGAACCTATCCTGAAGAGATGATTCAGACAGGGATATCCACAATTGATGTCATGAACTCTATTGCCAGAGGACAGAAGATTCCTCTCTTTTCTGCTGCAGGTCTTCCCCACAATGAAATCGCCGCTCAAATTTGTCGTCAGGCTGGTTTGGTTAAGCGTTTAGAGAAGTCAGATAATCTGCTTGAGGTATCACTATTTAACCATTACCGGTCCTGTCTTGGTTTATTACAACTATAACATGGATGTCTTAGGCATGCCCTCATTACAAATAAATTTTGGGGGTTAGACAAGGATTTTCTTTCTTGACTCTTTTCTTTCAAGAGAGCAGTGCCATATTTTCGGCGAATTCTACAGTAAATATGGTAGTTGTGTAATGCCATATTTTCAGTGTGTCGAAAAAAATTCACATTGGTCCATTTATGTGAATTTACAGCACCAGGAGGATGACAACTTCGCCATTGTGTTCGCAGCAATGGGTGTGAACATGGAGACTGCGCAATTTTTTAAACGCGATTTCGAGGAAAATGGGTCGATGGAGAGAGTGACACTTTTCCTTAACTTGGCAAGTCTCATTGCCACACTATGGACATTTTGAAACAAATCTTAGTTCTGATATTTCTTTCTGAAGGTTTTTCATTATGCTTACCGTACAGGCAAACGACCCCACTATTGAACGTATCATCACTCCTCGTATTGCTCTCACGACGGCTGAGTACTTAGCATATGAATGTGGAAAGCATGTCCTTGTCATTCTCACTGACATGAGTTCCTACGCTGATGCTCTTCGTGAGGTGATGATCAATACTTCAACTCATGTACTTTGAGATAATAGGTAGCCTGACATAGTATTCAACTTCAATTAATACCCTTAGGTCTCTGCTGCCCGTGAAGAAGTGCCTGGAAGGCGTGGTTACCCAGGTTACATGTACACTGACTTGGCTACCATATACGAGAGAGCAGGACGAATTGAGGGGAGGAAAGGTTCCATCACTCAAATTCCCATTTTAACCATGCCAAACGATGGTAATTATTATTTGCTATTTTCATGAACTTGCTCTACAATTATTCTTAGTGGCTTGTCTGGTTGTGTAGGGGTTTTGTTTAGCATTATTGTCTTTGATTTTGAATGGTTTCTGTCTGCAAGAAACAATAGGTGATAGCAGAGGTTGACCGAGGTTATCGAAAGTAAATATTGGAGAACTCATCCGAAAACTGGCTTTGAGAAATAGACAAGCCATGCTAAAATATGCCGCTGGGCGATCCCATAGCTTCCATCTAGGCAGTTCTATCAAACTGAGTGGATGATGTACTAGAGTTAGTGCTATGTTAGGATATCTGATCATTTAGCCTTCCTACTGAAGAATATTTTATTGTTCCTAATATAAAAAATATGCTGCTGAGTGAATAATACTGTTTGAGCTTTCTAATTTTTTTTTTTTCACTTCTCTGTCTAGATATTACGCATCCCACACCAGATCTGACAGGATACATCACAGAGGGCCAAATCTATATTGACAGACAACTTCACAATAGACAGGTACAATCTTGCAGAAGATAATTGTTTCAAAGGTCCTATAGTCCTATATATATATATCATTATAGGTACTACTACAATAAATTGATCTTTTGAAAAAACATATATACATGTGACGATCCCATTTATGGACTTTTCATTCGGTCTGTAAAGTCCAGAACCACCCCTTAGAGTTTTTAGATATCATAAGCATATGGATAAAGAGAAAATTTTCTGGGAAAACTGAAATATCTTGGTCATGACTTCAAAACACTGAAATGTGCATCTATGTATGGGCAAGCTAAAGACCAGAAGTGATTGTAGTTGGTCTTTCTATAGTTAACAGTTCCTGTGCATATACTATGTTTGTGTATTTTCTCTATCCTGAAAAGGCAGTAATTTGAAAGTTGTTTCGCTTTGGCTTACGTGTAACTGTAAGATGTTGTATCTAGTTTTGCAGATAAAAATGTCGTGAAAGTTATTTTAAAATACCGAATTTTGTTTGTGTTCCACAGATATACCCTCCGATCAATGTCCTGCCATCTTTGTCTCGTCTAATGAAGGTAAGTGTAGCGCTTCAAAATTAATAGATGAACCCAGGTGACCACTTGTTAAAGTAATCTGACTGTGTTGCAGAGTGCCATTGGGGAGGGTATGACTCGCAGGGACCATTCTGATGTTTCTAATCAAGTAAGACTTTATTTATTGTGTGTCACTATTACCACCATTGTAGATGAGCTTGGTTTACATTAGTTCTTACTAGTCAACTTAACCGTGGGCTTAACTTGTTATTACCCTTTTGCGATATCAGCTGTATGCCAATTATGCTATCGGAAAGGACGTCCAGGCCATGAAAGCCGTGGTTGGAGAAGAGGCTCTTTCTTCCGAGGACCTGGTCTCTCTTCTTTTCTTTTAACTGCACAGTCTTAATGCTTCTTGTCTCCCCTTTCTGATTCCTCTTAACACTTTTTACTGTCTGATGCAAACAGCTATATCTTGAGTTCTTGGACAAATTCGAAAGGAAGTTTGTGGCTCAGGGAGCTTACGATACACGGAATATCTTCCAGTCACTCGACCTGGCATGGACTCTCCTGCGAATCTTCCCCCGTGAGTTGCTTCACCGTATACCCGCGAAAACCCTTGATCAGTTTTACAGCCGTGATTCGACCAACTGAGAAACAGAGTGTCTACTGCGTCGGTGTGTGTTGTGTCCAAATGCACCTCTGTGTCGTCCGTCCCAATAAATGGTGTTTGTTCCCAATCGGTAGACACTTTATTATTGTCTTCGAAACTGAGCAAGCAGTGTTATTCTTTTTCAAAGAGATATTGAGACTCTTGTGTAATTTATGACATCTTCCTTTTCTTTTTCATTTTGTTGGGTACCAAATTACTGGTTCAACAAATATATATATACACACATTTGTTTTTTTTTCTTAATTGTATTTACATAGCTTAAAGTCTCTTTTACCGGAAAATGATCGATTTTTAGTTTAGACATATTTTTGTGTGTTAACACCTACGAGTTAATGAAATTTTTAATAATTTGAAAATTTATGTTGGTATGTTTTTTTAGGGACAACTTAACGATGACAAGTGGTTAAAACATTTTGTTTCTACCCTAGAGACATTTCATTCATTTTTTAGTAATAATGTTCAAACTTACTAAATTTTCAGAATTTGTGGACTTAACACCTATGAGTTTTTGAAATTCAGGTCAATAAGATTCCTTAAAGATTCATTTACCATGACAAATTAACAAGTGATCAAAACAATTTAGTTTTCAATTTGGACACATCTCATTCATTGTTTTGTAATAACATCAAAATTTTGAAATTCGTGGACTACACCTAGGAATCTCGGCAAAAATTGAAAATTTTGAGAATTTATGTTAATAGGGGCATCCTAGAAACCTCTTCACATAAAATATGGTTGAAACAATTTATGTTAGTTTCAACTTCGGATCAAAGCATAGTCTCGAAATATCAATTTGACAGCATAAAACCCAACAATTCTAACACAAAACTAACGCAAGAACACAGAATATGGTGTGAAAGATCAAATGAGTGAGAAATCCAGAACGATAAATGAGTAACTTTGAGGGACATCCGAAGATCTGCGGAGGAAG